GGACCAGGAGGAGGAGAAGGGGAGGAGCCGCGAGGAAAATCCCACGGCGAAGCCAGAAGGCGAGCGGTCGCGGAGAAGCGGAGGGCAGCCGGGGCTCCCGCTGGAGGCGGCGCGGCGGGTCGGGCGCCCTGGCCGGCACGCGCGGGCTGGGGCTTGACGGATGCCCTTCCCCAGTGGGGACACCCGAGTGGGGAAGTTCCCTGTCCCGTGGGACCCTGTTCTCCTGGACGGTCAGTCCTTGCTCTCCTGGAAGCCTGACTTCCTCCCAGCTAAATCTCGGCAAGGATAGGGTGCGCACACACACCCCACCCACCCCCCCACACACACACACCGCACACACACCACTTTCTCCCTTTCCAACTTGCAGAGCAAACTGGTACTGGCTCAGTTCTGGACAAAACTGGTTGAGATGGTGGGGAGAGGCACGGATGGGGAAATTACCTCTTTAATCTGGACCCTAACTCCCCCGCAGACCCTGCAATCCCAGTGAGAGTGGGAGACCTACTTGGCAGCCAAGAGGATCTCACCGCTCCCTCGTAGCGTGGGTGCAGGGTCTTTGAGACAAAGCCCAGAGTCTTCTCTTAGATCTGTCAAGCACCCTCAAAACTGCCTGAAATCCAGGCGCCAGGTCAAGGCCCTGGGCCAGGTGAATGCCAGGGAGCAGGCAGCACATCCTAAACCAGGAACCAGCCTGTGAATAAATGTGAATAAATAAATGAAGTAAATTACTTCCTAGAAGTGAAGCGTTTAATAAAGACTTGACACAAAGTCTAGGGGGTCTAATTTTAGGGAAGTTAAGTGCCCCACTGTACAAAACCGTATAATTCAAACTCCCTAGGATTTGCCCAAGCATTTCCCACCTCAACTATCTCCTTCCCCTACAGAAGAAATGCCCTCCATCTCATTCTACAACCTGGAGCTTCCTCCCCTCACAAGATTCACTACCAATATTCAGGTATGGATTCATTCTAACCTTTCCCTCCTGGACCACCCCTGTGATTAAGCAGGAATCACCAAACCTCCAAACCTGTATTAAATGGATTTTCAGACTGGACCGGAGTCATTGGGTAGAACAGACGGTTTCACACGGGAGGAATTCATCAAAAGCTGGGGTAGTTGGAATATGGTGGCTAGGACGCACCCAGAGGGGCAGAGGCAGAAAAGCCTGGAGATCTGCTTCAGCTAAGGACCGGATGCGCAGTTCTGCTCAGATGCCCATGGAGTTAAAATGGATTCAATACAGCAACTGGTTTAAGGGGGGACTTTTTCTAACACTGGAAGGCTTTTGCACTTTTCCTTCCCATCATGCAACTCCAAATTCTATTCTTATGTTATCTTGGGCATTTGATAGATCAGTTATGATCAAAATTTCTGCCTGACAAAAATAATTATGTATGCACTCATTATAATCATATTAGCAAGTATATGCTACCAAAAGATGAGAGAGTTTCCCTTATCAAACCTAAGAAGGTTATATCAATTTTCATAGCACTGTTCATTGTCCCTATCAGCTAATATGGATCAAATTGTGCTCCCCCCAAAAGATCTGTGGAGGTCCTAACTCCAGATTAGGATATGACCTTGCTTGGAAATGAGCATCTTTGAAGATGTTATCAGTTTACATGAGGTTTTACTAGAGTAGGGAAAGTCCTAATCCAATCAGAGTGGGGTCCTTATTTTAAAAATAAAATTAAATAGTCACAGAGACAGAAGCAAAACAGAATTGGTATAACTGCACGTCCCGATCTTCCTGGGGTGTCCAGAAGCTGAAATTTAAGAAAGAATCTCCCCCTAGAGACTTTGACAGGAATATGGCCGGACTGATATGGTGATTTGGACTCTTAGTTTCTAAAACTGTGGACCAATAAAGTTCTGCTGTTGTAGTCACTCAGTTTATGATATTTTGTTATAGAGGCACCGAGAAACAGATACACTCTCTACAAATGGAAAACTATCGCTGATGGGTAGTTCACCTCTTAGAACATATTTGTGAGAGCTGTTAAATTTTATGGACTGCCTATGTGGAAAAGAAAGAGCCAGGATGAAGCCAGCGGAAGTCATACACTCTCTAATAGGGTAGGAGAAACTGCGTGAAGATTCTAACTTCCATCTTAGGTGAGAAATATCTGAGGGCTTGTTTCTCTGGCCTTAGAAGCCAAAGCCAGGATTAATGAGGGGAAAAAAGATTGCTAAAAATAAATCTTTTATAAACTGGTGGAAATATCTAAAAGTGGAGCCAATTGCCTTGGAGTAGAATTGGTTTCTACATTCTTAGAAATGTTTTTACCCACTGGGGAAATTCTAATCCAAGAATTCCATGAAAATTTGCACTTTTCAAGTAGGTTGCCATTTAAATGCATGTACAGTTATATTTTTTGAAGATATATTTAAGAAGACACTAAGTGGCTGGTGGCTTGGAATAGAAAGGAGACTTACTTATTTTTTTTTAAATGTTTATATATTTAAACCTTTCAAATCTGGTACTGTGAGCATGCCTTGCCTGTCTCTGTAAGGTAATAGTCAAGGACCCAGGCATGGCCCTTAGCTGGGGCTTATGGGTATGCATATTGATGTTGTTAGGTGACAGTGATTCTGCTCCTACCCATAAGGATCGTATGTATAACAGAAAGACATGTTTCCCATCTTGCATCATTGTCACAATCATAGGTATATTTGAGTTCATTGTTGCTACCACTCTGCCACTCATTCTCAAGGGTTTTCTTGGACCCTCTACTGTACCTGTCCTCTACTTTTCTTATCCAGGGATGGAGCCCCTTGATAAGATGTCCAATGTAAGCAAGCCAAACTCTTACCATCCTCACTTCTAAGGAGCATTCTGGCTGTACTTCCTACAAAACAAGATTTGCTTGTGCGTCTGGAAGCCCACCGTATGTTTGCTATTCTTTGCCTTAAAGGCATTCATCTGGATGCTCCATTTCTTTCTTATTCACTGCTCACCATTCACATACATCTGAAGCAACTCATAATAGCATGGCTTGGATCATATCCACCATAGTCATCAAAGTAATGTCTTTGGTTTTTAATACTTTAAAGACATCTTTTACAGCGATCTGTCCAGTGCAATAGATCATCTGATTTATTTATTGATCATTGCTTTCATAGACATCGATTGCTGATCCAAGTAAAATTAATTCCTTCATAACACCATTTATCATAACCTGTTCAATTGGAAGAATCTTTTCTTGATGTTGAGGTGTGATCTATACTCAAGGCTGTAGTCGTTATAAAAACTTCAAGTTGTCTTTACTTTTAGTAAGCAATGTGCATCATTTGCATACCAGCAGGTTGCTAATGAGTCTTCTTTCAGTCCTGATACCATTCTTTTTCACATAGCCCAGCTTCTTGGATTACTTGCTATGTTAGTCTGGGTACTTTAGACAAACAAATCCACAGAAACTCATGTATAAGAGAGGGTTTTATATAAAGAGTAAGTGCACATCAAGAAAACATACCAACCCAGTGCTGTCCAAACCCACAAGTCCAACATTATACCATATGTCCCACACCAATCCACAAAGTCCTTCTCCATCTCACAAAACACACGCAATGATGCCTACTGCAGGAGGAAAGCCGAGTCAGTGAATGTGTAAGCATCTCAGTGCTGGCAGAGGTCTCCACGCGGCTGCTCCAGCATCCAGGGTTGCATCGGGGTAGGTCCAGGTGGCTTCTCCTCAGGGATGTTTTGCAGGAAGTGATCCTTGCCAGCTGAAGCAGGGGAACTGGCTAAGGCAGCTGCACCCTGGTCTGACCATCAGAAAGCAAGAGACCCGAAAACTAGAAAGACAAGGCTCACCGAGCCATTTGTCTCTCCACCCTTCAATTAACCCCACATGTGTTTATTGGCCAGGTTGGCCCAATAATCTTTAACTATCTCACTTGCTTAGCATTCAGATTGAGCAACTAGGGTGAAAAAATGTAACCCTCCTCCCTGCATTTTCTGATTTAAAACTATGCACTATTCCTGTGTTCAGTTCAAAAGACTGCCTCTTGGTCCATGTACCAGTTCTGCATGAGTGCTCCGGAACTCCCATTCTTCTCAATGTTACCCATCAAGTGTTATGATCAACCCAAGTGAAAGCTTTGCATAATCAATAAAACACAAGTTAACATCTTTTTTGGTATTTTCTGCTTTCAGCCAATATCCATCTAATATCTAAACTGATGTCTTTCATTTCATGTCCTCTTCTGACTCCAGCTTAAATTGCAGACATTTCTCTGGCAATGTGTGCTGTAGTCACTTAAAAATGGATTATCTTTGGTTTATGGCAAAAGGCATTTATGCCTTTATGGATTATTTGGTCATTTACTTCCTCCTTGTAAATTAACAGAGTCTTGCTTGCATAGAGGTTAAGTGTTGGGATAAAATCTGAAACGTCAGCAGTTTGAAACCACCACCACCCAAAGGGGGCTTTCTACTCTTGTAAAGCATCACAGTCTCCAAAACTCTCCGGGACAGTTTTACTCTGCTCCAGAGGGTTGTCATGAGTCAGTATGCACGTGATGGCATGAGGGAGTGCAAGTTCACTTATCTGCATCGGAATCTCAGTGGGAACCGCAGGTTACCTTGACATTTTTACCCTTTGTCATTAAGAGTCTTTGTTTTCTCTATGGTTGAAGGCTATACAATGTTGAAAG